ATATCCTTTGCTTACTGAAAAGATAAGTCGTCTCCTATGGTGTTTTAGCTGTTAACCTTTCATCTTGGAGGCTCTTGTAGTTAATTAAGGTGAGCATGCATACTATACTTTCTATATGTAGTGTATTTATTTGATATTAACAAAGAAAAAGATTCAGCATTACTTTAACAATGTATCGTGCACATTATTTACTTAATACTTAATTAATTATATCTGAACACTTTTTCATAAGATTTCATTTAACAGGAACATTAGAAGAACTCCGGATACCTTTAAATTATGAAATTATGGAGCATTGGTTGAATTAGTTCTCATTTGTCCTGCAAGGTAGCTGTGCTCATGGTTCTAAAGAAAGCATGAAAGTGCCTTTTTTTTTCATTGGGAACGAAGACAGTGTGCTGAAAAGAGGATTTATGACAATGAACTGATATAACAGTATCAGTTAAAAATAGTAAATGATATCTTTAGATAACTTCAATTTCTTAGACATTTGTAATTTGCTTCAGTAGACAACTTTTAAACAACGTTTCAGAAATGGCAGAAGCAGAATTAATGTGGAACAGATCTTTCCATTAGTGTGCATGTTACTGATTTATTCGATTTAAAAATGGTAATTAATTACTTTTTCTTGCCTGTTTGTATATAGATTGCTGTCCCACAAATGAGAACGAATTGCAGTTAATTTTGGTGCTACTAAAACAACTGATGCTTTTGACGTCTTCACCTTGCAACATTATGCAGTTAATTTTTGCCGTAACAATGGGAGGCAATTGGAAATTAATTAATTTGGATGCAACCGGAACAACAAATTATCTGCAGTGGTATCCCTCCTAGATTTGGTTGGTTTGCTCATCACACTGGTAGACTTTAGAACGCCACTTTCTACAATTAATTAAGGTGAGAATACAAAACATTACATTCTACAGCTAATTCAGGTAATATAAATAATAACATAGTTAAATTAATATTAATTACACTTTATTAATCTGTTGTCAATTTG